CACTTCCCCCTGAGAATTGTCAGACCACAATAGTTTGGTCTTTTTATCAATATATTCTGGGTGGCATATTTTTATATATTAAGTAGAGTGGATAAAAAGTTTGGTGGGTCAAAATGCTTCAGGAATGCTTTCCTAAGTGGAGCATAATTGTGAATTGGACGTAAACTAACTTCCAAAAGTTATGTTTACATACTTCTTTAATTCCTTGACTATTACTCGCCTCCCAAGTTATCCCTCCTCAGCCAATCACTTCAACCCAAGTTCTTAATAAAAGTCAGACGTACTTTGTTGGTCTCCACAGAGGTATACAGAAGCGCCATAGTATTGTCGATGTCCCCATAGATGTCCAAAGTCACAAAGCCCTTATACCCTAGAGCAAAATCAGAAAGAGTTAGAGGCATTTGTTAACTTACTGAAAGACCAATTAGATCCTGACAGAGAGTATAACATAGGTTCAAATTGCTTTATTGTACTGAAAAATAGTTGATCTAAATTATCTAATCTGAGGGCACCTGGACTGGTCCTTGGCCTTGAAATCTCTGAAGAATATTTTTGTGAGCGGTGTTACTTAGTTAGAAGAAAAAATCTTTTTCATTGCATTTAGAGTGGCTCTAAATATAATAGATTCCTCTTGATTATTAGTGGGAAGCTTTTGCTAAGAGTATTTACTAAACTAGTATCATAGTGTGTAGATCATTGTACAATCTAACTTAAGATTGTAAGAAGATTAAAATCCATTCACTATCATGTAAAGTTTGAAGACATTGAGAAAATTAAGTTCTCTGTGTCTTGGTTTCTCATCTATGAAATAACAACAGTACAACAAACTTATGAAATGGCTGTTTAGGTAAAAATATGATCAAATATCAGCAAATTCATATGGTTTAACATAATAGCTAATATTTATTTTGCATTTACTATACCAGTCTCTGTGCTAAGTGGTTTATATACATTTATCATTTTATTCTTCCTAAAATACCATGATGCAGAAACTATTATCTCCACCTTATTGCTGAGAAATCTGAGGCTAGAGATTTAAATAACTTGCTCCAGGTTGTACAGCTAGTAGATGGCTAATTTAGGACATAAATGTCTATTGGCTCTAAGCCTATGTTAGTGCCCATTAAGATGCTTGACCAAGATAACGATATGATAAATTAATTAAGAATGCACATAGCCCTGGCTGGTGCTGCTCAGTAGTTTGGGTGCTGTCCTGTGTACTGAAGGGTCACCAGCTGCATTCCTGGTCAGGCACATACCCAGGTTGCTGGTTCGATCCCTGGTCCAGGAGTCTGAGGGAGGCAACCAATTGGTTTCTCTCTCACATCAATCGGTTTATCTCCCTCTCTCTTCCTCTCCCTTTGTCTCTCTCTAAAGTCTATAAAAACATCTTTGAAAAAAAAAAAAGAATGCACATAGGATGATACTGAGAAGATGGTAGAGTAGGAAGCACCAGAAATCTATCTTCCCAACCTAGACAACAATTGCACTGGCAGAATCTGTCTGATATAACTATTCTGGAACTCTGGGCTTAGATGGTAAGTTGTGATTAATTTTCATCCATTTTTGCTCTTAGCACAGAAGCAGTACTTTCCCCCACCCCTCAGTCCTGTGGCAGACAGCTGTGCATGTGTTCCTAAAGCAGTTCACACACCACTTGCAGGAGCCAGGATGAGCAAAAAAGAAAGATCCTGTTGTCCAAGATATTGGGGATCTGTGCCCTAATTGCTGATTGTTGCTTATGATCACAGAGGTTCAGACAAAGAGGTGGTGGCCATTGTTGCTGCATCTACTCCCATTGTTGTAAACCCCACCCTCTACTAACATGACTTTTGGGGGGTGTAAAGGGTTAGTGACTCTTATACTCTCTTTCTTTTTCTTTTTTCCCTTTGAAGGACAGACATTGATGGCTAGGACATTCAAGCAACTGCACTGGGCATGCCCAGGAGAAGCCAGAAGCTCAGAAAAGAACTGAGAAGGCCTTAAGTTTATTCCTCAGCACAGAGACAGACCACAACAATAAAAACAAAAAGCAGAAACGAAACCCAGCAAACCCTGGGGAATGGGAAATTAATTCCCCATGTGGTTTTCAGAATTATCAGGTTATTATATTCAAATATCCAGTTTTCAATGACAACAGCAAATCACAAGGTACCCCTTAGCTGGTTTGGCTCAGTGGATAGAGCGTCAACCTGTGGACTGAAGGGTCCCAGGTTCAACTCCAGTCAAGGGCACATATCGGGTTGAGGGCTTGATCCCCAGTAGAGGGTATGCAGGAGGCAGCTAACCAATGATTCTCTCTCATCATTGATGTTTCTAACTCTCTCTTCCCTTCCTCTCTGAAATCAATAAAAAATATATTTGGAAAAAAATCACAAGGCATACAAAGAAAAAGGAAAATCTGGCCCATTCAAAAGAAAAAAGGTAAGATAACAGAACTGTCCCTGAAAAAGGCATGACGGTGGATCAGTTAGACAAAGGCTTTAAAACAATGATCTTAAATATGCTCAAAGAATTCAGAAGACATGGATAAATTCAAGAAAATGATGCATAAACAAAATGAAAATAACACTAAAGAGAAGAAAATCTAAAAAAGAAACCAAAAAGAAATTCTGGAAGTAAAAAGTACAATAACTGAAGTGAAAAATTCACTAGAGGGATTCAGAGGCAGATTTGAGCAGGCAGAAGAATCAACAAACATGAATATAGGACAATGGAAATGACTGAGTCTGAGGAACAGAAAAAAGAAAAGATTGAAGAAAAGTGACCTGTGGAACATTATCAAGTAGACCAACACAGGCAAAGAAGGAAAAGAGAGAATATTAGAAGTAATGTCCAAAAACGTCCCAAATTTGATCAAAGACAGGATTATAAATATGCAAGAAGCTCTATAAACTTTAAGTAAGGTGAGTTCAGACACTCACACCAAGACGCACTATAATAAAACTGCCAAAAGCCAAAGACAAAGAGAATTTTGCAAGCAGTAAGAGAAGTGATTTGTCCCATTCAAAGGATACTGAATAAGATTGTTAGCTGGTTTCTCATTAGCACCTTTGAAGGCCAGAGGCAGTGGGATGATATATTCAAAATGCTAAAAGAAAAAACTATCAACTAAGAATCCTTTGTGACATTTACATGAATTGAACCTCGAGGACATTATGCTAAGTGAAATAATACAATCACAAAAAGAATAATACTGTCTGATTCCACTTATATGAGATATGTAGAACAAAGTCACAGAGACAAAAAGTAGGGTGGTGGTTGCCAGGAGGTAGGGGTAGGGGACAATGGGTAATTATTGTTTAATAACTATAGAATTTCAGTTTAAAAGATGAAAGTTCTGGCAATAGGTAATGGTGATAGTTGCACAATGATATGAATGAACGTAATAACACTGAACTGTATATACTTAAAAATGATTAAGATCGTATATATATTTTTAAATATATTTTATTGATTTTTTACAGAGAGGAAGGGAGAGAGACAGAGAGTTAGAAACATCAATGAGAGAGAAACATCGATCAGCCGCCTCCTGCACATCCCCCACTGGGGATGTGCCCGCAACCCAGGTACATGCCCTTGACCGGAATCGAACCTGGGACCTTCCAGTCCGCAGGCCGACGCTCTATCCACTGAGCCAAACCGGTTTCGGCATTAAGATCGTATATTTAATATTATGTGTTTTACCACAATTTTAAAAACTAGGGGGAAAATAATGTACATAAAGTGCCTATAAGAACTTGGGACACAGGAAAAAAATCAATAAAACATCCTTCCTCCCTGCCTCCCTGCTTCTTCAGGAGTGCAGAAGTGATTTCTTCCTATCCTTGTCATATGCTATAGACACTGATGCAGCCCTCAAGCTTAGTGTTGGGTGTCTGCCACCTTCTGGAGTCAAGAGAAGACTCACTCTGCAGTAGGATAAAAGTTTGTCAGAGTAAGGATTTAGGGCAAGTTAGAAAAGTCAACTATCATTTGTCTTTTACTTAATATACATTAATCTAAAAAGACATTTTTTTCATGGTAACTGGATGAGATCTGGGAAATAAAAGGAGTTTCAATAGAAGCTTGTGTGGAAAGAAAATGCTGATTCCTATAGTTCAGAAGGACAAGTGTTGTGAAATTTTGGATGGTATTGCTATGAGAGGTTTTGAGTTGGAGAGGTAACACAGGGCCTCTCATTTTGGAAGGACAGAAAGAGAAGTATGGAAGGACCAAAATCAAACTACAGGCACTTTTCTTCTTGCTAATCTCCAAGCACAGTCAGGACATTATGGCTCAAAATGATCTGCGATGAGCTTGTTCATAACTACAGGGCCTGAGCTATATGCTCTTTCCTTGATATTCAAGGATTCTGAAATTCTAAAGCATAAACTGGGGTCTAGTTATTGATAACGGCACCCCCAAACTCTATACAATGATGTCTACTGCCCATTAAGTTCAAAGGTATTTATCTGTTGATCCATTTATTGCCAAACCCCCTCTTTGCTTCCCAAAGTCCATATTTCTTCAGCTTTCTGTAGAGAGTGTTAAGTGTTGTTTGCTCTTAGGTGACCAGTACCTTCGAAAGTGAGGTTCCTGAAAGCATGAGCAAGTTCGTCGGTGTCAACTTCTTTTCCTTTTCCAAGAAATGTCTCTAGCACATGTCCAAAGAGCAAGATTCCATTCAAATAGGCAAGAGAAAAGTCATTTAACTCCTGAACAAGAAAGAAAAATCTTAAAATGAGTTCTACGGTCTTGAGCCAGGAGCAAAATGTTCTTGGGGTCAGCAGGGTAACTGAATATTGGGGGAATTGTAGAAACGGAGACTTTGGGGTAATATTTCCTTGGGGTGGGGGTTGGGGGGGGGCTCTGTATTGTCACTATGTCACAATTCTGTCTTGGGATCAATAAACCGAGAATACTGCCTTCAAGGAGGTAACTGGAAGCAGTTGTACTTCTTTCCCATGAGGATAAAATATCTCATTTCAACCAGGAAAGAAAATATACAGCATCTTCATAACCCTTATAAGATTTTACAGAAAATTAACGCTTGCAGTTTAATGTTCCCCTTAAAGAGTAAAAGAGAACAACCACAAAAACATCTCCCTGCCTTTGAACATCCTGAATGGGACAGGAGGATTTTGATTGGAAGGTATTGAGCTTGCTTTGAAGGCAGTTCTTTTTCTTTATTTTTTAAAAGAATATATTTTTATTGATTTCAGAAAGAGGAAGGGAGAGGGAGATAGAAACATGAGAGAGAATCATTGATAGGCTGCCTCCTGTACACCTCCTACTGTCGATCAAGCCCACAACCTGGACATGTGCCCTGACCTGGAATTGAACCCTGACCTTCTGGTTCATGGGTCGACACTCAACCACTGAGCCACACTGGCTGGGCTGAAGACAGTTCTGATTGGGTGTTACTTCAGGCCATAAATGTCTGCCCAGGGGAACAAAAAAGAGAGGGTCAGGCCCTGGCTGGTGTGGCCCTGTGGGTTGGGCATTGTCCTGTACACTGAAAGGTTGCTGGTTGGATTCTGTGTCAGGGCACATGTCTAGGTTGAGGGCTGATCTCTGATAGGGGACATGCAGGAGGCAGCCAATTGATGTTTTGTTCTCACATCTATGTTTCTCTCTCTCTCCTCTCCCTTCCTCTCTCTCTCTAAAAAATCAATTTTAAATTCAAATAAATAAATAAAAGGGAGGGTTAAAACTCTCTTGCAACAATTATATGCTGGTTTTCACAGAGTAAGGCTATGGATTAAAAGCTCTGTGCTCCACTGAAGCCAAGTGAGTTCTGTCAACTTGGGTATTTTGGATTGCACACTTTTGCCAGACCTTAGAAGCTATGCAAGTGATACCTGAATACTATACCCTGAAGAATATATGTTAGAAAATATATCAGGGAAAAAAATAAAACCACCTCTCATTGGTTTCAGTGCTTTTTGCTGAAATCATCATTTCATGAGCTGAAAAGAATCCAGTTGAGACCCAGCCCTACCCAAAAGGGGGTGTGACTCCTAATTTTGGCAGGGTTGTAAAACAGAGGGCTTAGCACTGCTAGTGCAGGAAAAACTGTGATACTTCAAAGATACCCAACGTGCTTTATAGAGCTTTTTGGGCCTGGCCTTTGCTTGCCAACCCAAAACTGTTCATGGTCCTCAGGACTGCTCCTTCCCTCCTCTTCCCACTCCAAAACTGCTCTCAAGTATCTCTGAGTGCAGAATACATCTGAGGAATTTGATCACATTAAAGTGCATTGTCTGACCAAGACCAAGTGGTATTAGTGTCAGGAGCCCCTCATTATACTTAGGTGACCATGATTTGATATCCAAATGGAGCATCTTTTTTTTGGAGACAAATGCTAAACCAGATGAAATGCTTGGATAAGAGGCATAAACCAGGACTCTTTTGGATAAGTGTGGACAATGGTTAACCTAATCACAATAGATAACAATGTTTTTACTTAGGAATACAGGGGTGGGCAAAGTAGGTTTACAATTGTGAGTATGCAAAACACAGATTTTATTTAGGTACTAGTAGCCCGGTGCACAAAAATTTGTACACTTGGGGGTGAGGGTGAGGGGTGGGGCCAGACCCCTCAGCCGACCTGCACCCTCTGTCATGTTCCTGGACCCCGGCCACTCCTGGCCTAGGCACAGGCCTAAAGGCTTGGGGTGGCCCGGCTCCCGAGGCCCCATTTTATCAAGAGAACAAAGTCTGCATTAGTTACAGCCCTCACTGAACCCAGTACAGTGCATCTGTGCATACAACTGCCTCCTTCATGTGCCTGCTTCGCCCTACTTAATTAAATACATCTTGAGGACATAGCTCTGTCTTATCCTGCTTCACCTTCAGTGCCTGGCCTGGTGCCAGGGATCTGAGAGGGTTTGCTGAGTGAGTGAATGAGTGAATGAATGAGTAAGTAGGTGAATGAGCAAGCAGGTACCAGTCGGGATAGTTCGCACTCCGCTCTGGGCTGCCTGACACAAACCCCGGGCAGTTGCCGCCCTGCTCCCAGTGGCCCCATTCCCCTCTCCCAGCTGCATAGTATGTGCAGGGCAAAGGCAGCCTGGGTGTGCATGTTGGCAGATCAGTGCATTAGCACCCGCCAACCCGGGATTCCCAAGGGAAGGCCATTTGTGGGCACAGCCGGTGGCTGATCGGTGCATTAGCACCCGCCAACCCGGGATCCCTGCGGGAGGACCATTTGTGGGTGTTGCCATTGGCAGATCGGAGCATTAGCACCCGCCAACCCAGGATCCCCACAGGAAGGCCGTTTGTGGGCACAGCTGGTGGCTGATTGGTGCATTAGCACCCGCCAACCCAGGATCCCCACAGGAAGGCCGTTTGTGGGCACAGCCGGTGGCGGATGGATGCATTACCACCTGCCAGCCAGGGATCCCCGCAGGAGGGCCGTTTGTGGGCGTGGCCATTGACAGATCGGAGCATTAGCACCCACCAGCCCAGGATCCCCACGGGAAGGCCATTTGTGGGCGCAGCCAGTGGCGGATGGATGCATTACCACCTGCCAGCCAGGGATCCCCATGGGAGGGCCGTTTGTGGGCGTGTCTGGTGGTGGATCACTGTGGTCCTGCTGGCCAGCCCTGGATTGGGTCCCATATGGGCTGCCTGCCGCCTGGGTCGCAGATAGCAGGCCCAGGTGGCAGTAGGCCAGGCGGGATGGCGCTGTCCTGCCCTGCCTGTAGCATGCAAATTAGCCACCATCTTGGTTGGCAGTTAATTTGCATATCACCCTGATTAGCCAATGGGAAGTGTGTTGGAGGTACAGTTAATTACCATGTTTGTCTATTATTAGATAGGCTTATTGTTTAGTAATTGTTGTATTTTGCATATGAACAGCTGAAAACCTACCTTTGCCCACTCCTGTGTATATCTCTAAAGATAGAATTTGATATGGGTGCCAGCAGAAAGTTGCTTTAGGATGTAGGAAAACTTCACTTATTTTACATTGTTTATTTCCACCTCCCCTAAGTTAGCAGGGCGTCTTCTATCTTCCCACACTATCACATCCATTTTTATGTTACAGAAGAAGTGCGCACTGCTGTGCTGGTCTAGAGCCTAACACACTGACCCATAGTAAGAGTTTTAGTAGCAAGAATCTTGCAATTACACCTAGTAGGTCTCAGTTAAAACTTGCTGAGTGAATTGAAATGAGTAAAAAAAATAATGCTCATCTTAGAATTTGAGTCCCAAAGAGTAGAATAATATCTTAACCTTGAAGAAGAAAATAATAGTATGCATATATGAAGCTTACCAATGATAAGTCCTGGGGAAAAGAACTATCTGGGAATGGTTCTTTAGGAGGCAGTGTCAAAACAAGGACATTTTTCATATAGTCAGGGGCTGTGACATTTTCCATGAAGTAGTGGTTACTGAAATAAAAGCACAATTTCTCATGAAAATTAGGTTCCTCCAAATAGAGAGATAGAGCTCCTACAATTTCATTCAAACTAAAATAGTCTTGAAATAGTTTAAAACATGTTCTTTTTCCCAGTAACCTGCAAAGCTGTCTACTTTCTCCATATAGGCTTAATTCTTTCAATCTGCTAAGTTGAACAAGAGAAATTAGGCAGCTGTACATAACATACACAAAGGGAAAGGAAGATCAGAAGACATATACCACTTTCAGGGAAATGTGTCTGAGCTCTGGACATGTGAGCTAGTGGTTGCTTTCAAGACTTAATGACCCTTGGTTTATATCTGGGAACATTCTTTTCCTTGAGTGCTCATAACAATTTAGAGATATTAAGATATGATAAAAAATATTAGGAGTGAAAATTACTTTTCAGATGGTAAAACATAAGAATGGAAGGGCTAAACATTTTCTCTACCACTACTGTAAACTTCTTGACATGAGCTTATTGATCCTTGTATCCTCAACTCCAAGATAATTCTTGGCACACTGTGGACTCTCAATAATGTCTGAGACTGTGCTGCAAATGGTATCTAGCTTTCCAACCATTTGAATGTTTTAATAGGTCAAGAATCTAACATGTTTGAACTGCTATAACTAGGCTGACCATCATTTAATATTCAAACAGGAGGTGAACACATCTATGAACTGAGAACTGTTTTGAATCTTTTGCTCATATTAGCACATACAATTCTAAAAGTACCCCGATACAGTGGACATTTTTATTCTCATTTTACAAAGGAGTAGATTAAATCTCAAAATACTAAGTAATACCCAAGAGTCAAATGAACCAGAAGTGTCAGAATTAGAATTTGAATCCAAGTTATGTATGTCTAGTTCCAAGTGAATCTCATGATTTTCCCCAAAACATAGTCAGGTGTCCTTCAGGAATAGCGAAAGGATTGCCAACACTTTGGCAGTCGATTGAGGATTTGCTAAAAGTAAAATTACACCAACTAAGTTACACTGAGGACTCCTTCCAGAGGGCAAAACAGTTACTGAAAGAAGCCATCAATGTGGTTGTTGGGATGAAATGCTGATGATGTGCCCTCCTTCCTGTATGCTGCCGCTAAAAAGTTACATTGGTTATCTTCATGAGCAACTTGTGGTCAAGCAGGCCTCCAGTTGATATGCTTCACTTCTCTTAACACTGTGAAAGGTACATTTCGTGTGGGTGAAGTGACTAGGCAAACACAGGAAAGAGCTAATGCAGTAACATGTTCTGGTCTGAACATAGAAAGGTAATGATTAATGATCCAGTCAGATAAGTGAAGTCAGATGATCTAGCTGATGGGGCAAAGGACACAGCCATACCAGTGAAACCCTCTTTAAGCTTATTCTGACTCACATATTACCTTGACACAGTTAGTCTGTGGGTCTCCACATTAAAAGATGAGTGGTAAAATGAGGGATGTGATAAAAAGTAGTTCTATTGCCCTGGCCGGTTTGGCTCAGTGGATAGAGTGTTGGCCTGTGGACTGAAGGATCATGAGTTGGATTGTGGTCAAGGGCATGTACCTTAGTTGTGGGCTCAATCCCCGGCCCCGGTTGGGGTGCCTAACGGAGGCAACCAACCAATGTGTCTCTCTTATGTTGATGTTTCTCTCTGTCTCTCCCCTTCCCTTCCACTCTCTCTAAAAATCAATGGAAAAAATATCCTCAAAATAAATAAATAGTATCTAAATAAATAAATAAATAAATAAATAAATAAATGTGATTTCTGTTTTTTTTTTTCTCTCTCTCTCTCTTTAGTTCCAGACAAATGCAAAGGAAAAGATCTCCGCCCAGTGATGATTCACAGTAGGCAAAAGGTAACTGTATAAATTAAATTCACTTAACTAGAACTTTCCTCATACCAAAGGTGGCTGAAGGAAAAATAATCTAAGATCAAAGGCCATTAGCATTTGAAGGCACAGATATGGCACACATTCTTATAGATAATATTATTGGGTTATAAGCTGATTTATCACTACCTGAGAAAGACCTTAAAGTCAGGCTGGACACCAGGATAAATAGACATGTGGGTTTAATGGGGTTTTCATAAAACTTTGTTATTTAGACATGATAGTGATGTCAAAGGAATACATCTCCACTAAGGCCATGATTAATTAAAAAAGAATGAGGGCATTAGAAAAGGAACAAGACATAAATTAAAATATTACCATCATGCCCTAGCTGGTTCGATTCCAGTCAAAGGCACGTACCTTGGTTGCAGGCTCCTGGCCCTGGGCGTGTGGAAGGCAACCAATTGATGTGTCTCTCTCACATCGATGTTTCTCTCTGTCTCTCCCTCTCCCCTCCATTCTCTCTAAAAATCAATGAAAAAAATATCCTCAGGTGAGGATTAAAACAACATATTATCATCATACTGAACCCTATATGAAGCTGTGCAAAACAAAGGAAAAGAGAATGCGCCTTTTGGAAATCCTTGGAGTATTTTCTTTCTGAAAGGAGAAGAGTTCTTTCAAATATTATACCTACTTAAATAGATCCACTAGAATAATGACAGTGTCTTCAGCCACTTCCCGGTCACCCTTGATGGAGGAGATGATGTCTGGTGTACCACACACAATAATCACTGAGGAGAGAGAGCAAGACAAAGAGAGAAATATACAATGGTGTACACACAAACAGAAAGGGAACCCGGTGCTTGAATTTGAACTCAGTATGTCCATGATATGTTTGTTTTAAGACTATCACCAATTCCTCAAATTACTACCTCCCCTTTTCTTAAATTTACAGTCACAAAGTCAGAGTAGAGCTAAATGGATCTTAAAAAGAATGATCTGGTCCATTCCCTTAATTTTATTGATTTAAGAAAACCAAAGCCAAGATGTCAAAGGGTTAAAGAACTAGTAGATGACAGAGGTAGCTCTACTATTCAAGCTTTATAAGTCTGGGTTTATGCTTATTCCATTACACCACACTGGAGTATTCCAAAAACTATTTTCATTGGTTACTATTTTCAACTCACCATATGTAAAGTGGTTGGAAAAGATATAGAATAAGTTAATGTGAGAATTTATGAAGTTTTCCTAAGCAACTTTCTTTGTGGGCTTTGTAGCCTCTTAACTCAGATCTTAGTCTTCGTGATCTCAGTGATGGAGTCCTATCCAATTCTATAACTGCAGCTACACTTCCCAAATGCATGACTTTATAAGTAAGAGGAGTTGGGAGATACTTCATTAGATTTTTTAAAATATTGTGTTGCCCAGTTGAATTGTAAACCCTGTAGGGACACAAATAATTTAATACTTCATGTTCCCCCTCGTATCTTGGTCAATGTTTTGCAAATGGTAGGTTCTTAGTTTGGTAAATGCTTAATAAGTATGATGATGTACATAATGATTTAAGTGACACCAGGAAATCCTGCCAAGCAAGGATTTTCCCATAGGAAATTCCCACAGTTGATTCCTTTACTCCTGATATATTCTAATTTGTAAAGAGAATTCTAAGGAAAATGAAGCAAATCACCTAATAACTTAGAAAGGATGACTTTATCCCACTAGTGTTTCACACTTGACTTGTAACTCAGAGATCATTAGGCAGGTGAGGTATTTTGCTTACTTTTATAATTTTACGTGAGGCTAGATATCAGTAAACATATCCTCTTAGTCATGAGTGAAGCAGGGTTCAGAATGTTTGAGGAATTGTCACAAATCCAATAACATATTGGATTGAGGTGAACTTAAAAACCAGTTTACTGTGATGGTGGATCATGATGTCATTTTGGTTTATAAAAATTGGATTTTAACATCATCATTACTTTCATGAAGTTAATATATTTGTTCAATGTCGCTTTTCTAATTTCTCCCAGAGGATAAAGTTTTAATCAACAAAAGAAACAATATAATGGAGTTGCATGCAACTACAGATCTCCCAAAAGATAAGAAGTAAATTGAGGTAATGATGACAACTCTGTCTGGTAGATTTGTCAAATGACTCATAAGGAAGTGGTAGCTGTGAGGAAGAAGTTGGCAAAATTATCTTCATGTTTTCATACCATTGCTTTTCCTTTCCTGGTGCATTAAGATTTTCTGAAACTCAGCCTCTCCTCTCAATACCTCTTTGAAGTTAAGTTCCTGAGAAAAATAAGAAACTCCAGCCTCTAGAGCATTGAGGTACCTAGAACAAAAAAAAGAGAGAAACTATAAGAATCCAGCTTTGTTTCCTCATGGCCTTCCATGCCATTTGCTCATTGCTTACAGATCTGTCCTGGGACTTGTTAATCAAAAATTCACATCTGCTATCAACACAGTAGATAATACATCCCATGAGTGTGAACATCTAATTTAGTGAAAGTATTGGGGAACTTTTAGGGGAGCTTCATGCATATGTACACATAGTAGAAAATTTGGTGGGTCCCTTATAATGGCTTTCTGCTATTTGCCGAAGAAACCAGTCCCCTTATCACAGATAAGTTGAAACCTTTGAATCTACATTACAAAAATTCCAAGTTGATAGAAATAATTTCTCCTCCTGTGTGAAATGAATTTATGTGTGTTCTAAGTTCACCCCAAAGTTTCTAGGACAAGGCCTTTGGGTTGATTCTTGTAGTTCCGTAGATGTGCAAACCCAGTGGTGCCCTACTTTTAGCCTTCTGCGTACTTACGTAGATAGAGACCACAGAACTGAGCAGCATCAGCATTGTGGTTCTGTAATAACCTGATCAAAGGATCCTGTCTGCTATCTTTGCTGAAGGAGAGGGAACTTGCAATTTTATTTTGGCAGTGGTGCCCATTATCCTGTTCTCTGTCCACCTCCCAACTTATTCTTCTGAAAAAAACTATGAGAGAAATGTTTTCTAACTAATTGTAGGTATAGGCAGAATGCACATTCTCTGGTATCATGTCTTGCACAGTAATGTGAAAGCATTAACCTCTGGTTTTCATTTCCTTATCTGTAAAATGGGGTTCATAGTACCTGTTCTCTTTTCTTCAGAAGGTTTCCCATGGGCAATCAATAAAACTATCTAAGAGGTACTTTGAAAACTACTAAGAGTTTGAAAATGCAACACATGCTGATTATGTTTATTATACTACTAGAGGCCCGGTGCACAAAAATTTGTGCACTCGGGGGGAAGAGGGGGTCCCTCAGCCTGGCCTGTGCCCTCTTGCAGCCTGGGACCCCTTGGGAGATAACGCCCTGCTGGCTTAGGCCTGCTCCAGGGTGGCAGAGGGCAGGCCCAATCCCTAGGTGCAGCCCCTGGTCGGGCTCAGAGCAGGGCCGATTGGGGAGTTGGGGCGCCGCCCCTTGTCATGCACAGAGCAGGGCGTTTCCGGAGGTTGTGATGCCACCCCCAGTCATGCTCAGGGTAGGGCCGATTGGGGGGTTGGGGC